GATGAAGGACGGGGTTCCAAAAGTACCTCAAACATCACAAAATGGGCAAACATCCTGCAGTCAAAGTCCAGCAATTTCCTTACATTTCAGCGGTGGAAATCAACATGATGATGAGGGACCGTAAATTGAAGGGTGGGGTTGGAGGCTACATGTGGCCTGCCTCTGTCACCCACAAAGGCAGCTTCCATGCAGGCATTGACTTCTTATTCCCCTTCTCCAACCTCATCCTTCCACCCACACCACCCTCCGCCCTCCTGCCATTACTGATGAGGCTTCTTGGATGAGAAGCGAAATGTCTTCAGGGGAAAGCAAAGGAAGGCCAGTTGGGACAACCCTGAAGCTCCCCAGACCTTCTCCGAGTGGCTGTCACACACCTTGCATGCCCTCCAGGCGGAAGGTCCTGTGCTCCACCACCCCGCAGCTCCGATAAGGCCCATACCGGAGGGTCACCAGAGCATTCTTTGGCATCGCTGGGCCAGCTCTGAAGAGGCTCCCGAGGAAGGAGGAAGCACACACGGAGGGCGGGCAAAGCTGAGACACGTCCTTCTCTGCTGCCCAGGAAGCTCTGGTGGCTTTGACAACACTCCCAGTAGCCATGGCAAAGCTTGCCGTTTCCTTAGGGATGTAGTGTCACAAAGGGAGAGAAAGGCTGGTGCTCAATTCTGTGGCCCTTTGTTTGCAGGGAGAGAGAGGGAGGGAGGGAAGGAGGGAGGGAGAGACAGGCAGACCCAGAGAGAGAGAGATACTGCAGAACTTCAGACTGACACATCAACGGTGGTATTTTGATGACTTGGTGAAGGAGTGTAGATTTTGGGCATGCACTCAAAGAATAGCCGTTTTCCTAATGATGTGGGTACTAAAAACCCCTCTGTTGGACTCATAATACCATAATTTGAATTGAAAGAGAGAGGGAGGGAGGGAGAGAGAAGGGGGCTCCCTCCAGTCCCTTAAGGCTTGTCTTAATATTGGCTGCCAAGACTGATAAGGTTAGGGACGTATCCCAGGACTGGGACCCCCATTCTCTCCCCAGATCGGCTACCGGACCCCAGCTGAGACCATAGGAAAGAAGGGAGGCTGGCACTGGGGAAGAGAGGGACATTTCCTTTGGCCTTCTTCTACTCCAGCATTGTGAGACATCCGGAAGGAAGGAACTTGCATCTGCAACTGGCCCCAGATCCAATATGGAATTTGGGGGCAAGTTAACCAAATCTGAAGGACTTACAGAGGATGAAAAGGGAAGCATTGGTCTTGCAGAATCTCTTTGCTTCTGTTCCCACTCTATTTTTGGGGGGGGGGGCGGGGGGGAGAAGGGATCCCATTCTTCGTGGCTGAACTCTGGCAATCCACTTCTGGTCTTTCCTCCTGTGGGTTCAACCCTTTGGACTCCCCTGTCCCCTCCAGGTGAGACCTTCAACTGACCTCTTGGCCCTCTGAAAGGCCTTGAAGAAGGGGCCGTGCCAATTAGACTGGGACCCCAATAGGGGTGCGGCACTTTTGAGGGTGGCTGATGGAGTGGAGAACCCCTTCCTCCATACACACCCCCCTCCTCTCCCTGTGCACCTGGCTCCTTCGCTCTCCACATGGGTCAGCATTATTTTAACTGAATTGTAATTTCCTATTTGAATTTTAAATTTCCTACTGTTTCTATTTATCTAGGTGCATTCTAGAAGGCCTAACATCACATCCAGTTAGGCAGGTGACACACAAGTTTAATAAACAAACAAACAGATGAACAAATAAACAAAAACAAACAAACAAAATATCAGCCCCTATTAGGTATGAACGGGAGCTAGTGTGCAGGTCATAGATTGCCCTCTTTGGTGGAAATGATTGATTGGTCAGTTGATTGATTATGCGCCATCCAGTTGGATGTTGATTCTTTGCAACCACGTCAATAGATATTTCCCCCACCCCAGCAAGATCGTTTTCCAGTTTGGCTTGAGACAAGCTTGAACAAGAGAGACTAAAATACACACTTGGTTCAGAATAAAACCTACCACTGTTTTTTTTTTTAAAATATTGCTTTTTATTCACCTTTGCAATCAACAACCAATGGACTCTAAATTCTTAGTATCCACGTATACAATGTGCCATGAACTTCAAAACTGACAATGGGAATGATTTGATACCTGGAACACACAATCTGTAGCTCATACTGAACACAGAGGCTATCGAAATAGACATTTAGATTTGGCATTGATCAATACTATGTTATAAAAATAAAACATTACTAAAATACTGACTTTAATGTAGCATACAGTATAAAAAGTTGGGATATATTGTCACCTTGTTGCTACATCATAATGCTATCAGCTCACCTGAATGCGGTTCTTATAGCTAACCTGCCTAAAGGATCCAAAACAACACTTTTCTTTCATCTAAAGATCAACTTTTTAAAAAGCCCAGATACTCACTTTAAAAAAAAAAGAGCAACAGATCTCTCTCTCCTGTATGCTGTTTCATAGACTTACCTGCGCCAAAATGTAACTTTTGTATTGGATCAAACCAGGTGGGAAATTGACTCGTGATGAATGCAATTTAACCCATCTACTTTTTCTTTCTGCATAAAAAACAGCTGTGGAATGCGAGACCTGGACTGCAACGCAAGAGGGGGAAAAAAATAACCCTTGCTTGCTCACATACCTCACCATAAAAATTCTCCCCTGGGACAAAGAAAACAAAACCCAAAAACCTTACAGATGCCAATAAAGTGCTTGGTTTATGTGTGCATTCAGTATATATTGCATAAATATGTAAACATTTTTATAAATCAAAAAATCGCAGCTGTGAAAACCGAGAGGAGTAAAATTCACTGATTGTTTTGATGCTTTCACAACCCAACCTACCAAGATGCCCAACTCAGGCCTTGCTGGTGCCCCCATCAAAGCTCCTTCAGGTGCCCCCCCCTTTTGTTGGCATTCTGTCCCGCTGCCAGGAGCTTTGGGCAAACCGCATGGGCGCTCCAATGGGACACGTTCAGTGGGTTTAAAGTCGAGTCCAAAATCACTCGGGTGGGTGGAATTTTGTTGATGGAAAGCTAGAGAATTGCTTACTGTGCTACTGTTCTGTCTATATTGTGTCATTGTGTCACCACCAACTTGCTAGGAATGGAGAATTTGATGATCAGTTTCCTTTGGAAATCCAACCTTCAACTGCAAAGATTCAGTTCCCCTTGGTTGGAACTTGCAGTCCAGATAAAATAAGGTAAGAAGACCAAGTTCCTTAGAAATCAAGGGATCTGATAGTTAACCCTTAATAAATCAATATTTTTGACTTCATCATCTCCAACAAACCTTCAGGGTACTCATCCTGCAAGTCCACAACCAAATCCCCTTTTTACACTTCCCATTAAATTTGCATAGATAGCCATGATATATATTTTTCTAAGTTGCAAAGTAAAATTGCATTTTCTCTTGTTTGGCTACAACTCACTTTAACTGACATGGAAACTTCCCCCAAAGTCAAGCAACCACAAAGCATGCATATAAGAGAAAAATAGTGTTATCACATAATAGGACAGTTTGATGGAAAGGTGCCCAGAATATAAATTGGGTAAGTTTTGCTTAACAAGACCTGGACAAGCATTCTGTCCAAGAGACGTTGCTTTATCCAGCACACTGGACTGAGACAGGACTTCAGCCAATACTTTTGTCAAATTTCTCAAAATATCCCTGAATCTGATCTTTGAGGTAACACCCAGTTTTAAACTGAAAGCATGCTTGTTTCTGGAATCCATGAATATAGAGCATTTCTCTATATTTCAAGAAAAGTCCTTAGATTATGCAAGACAAAGATTGAATTGTTTCACTGCATTAACCATTTCATGTAAACCAGATAGTAGATCACCCGTTTCTCAGAAGGATCTCCAGGCAGATGGGTCTAATGGTGGAGAGAAGACAGGCATCCAGGAAAAAAACAAATGTAATGTATATGTAAACAGATACAGCCAAGAAGAGGCAGGACTTACGTTATTCTTTTTCAACCTGGCATTTTTCAGGTATGTTGAGTTAGCTTTGGACACATCCCACCATAAATTTTGTTTCCCTTTAGGGGCACTACATTTTAAGAAGACACAGAGAGAGTAGAATTGGTTCAGATGGAGGCAACCAGAAGAAGGAAGGGTCTGAAAATAGTCCTATGAACCAAGATGGTAAGAAATGATCACCTTTAGTCTTGAGAAGACCGAGAGGTGAAATGGTGGCCATCTCAAAAAGGTGCTCTCCAGACTGCAAGATTACTGGAGAAAAATGGCAGGAAGGTAGATTCTGATTGAATGTTAGGGGTAAATAGCCCTAACAGGAAAATAAGTTGACAGTTGAACCAATGACCCAAGTGGGGTATTGGGTTCCTTTTGTGGGATATTTTCAAATGGAGGCTGTCTGTTTTAATTTGAGGAATGGGCTAGTGTGATGGAACGTAGTCTAGAGTCACAGGAAAGAGGGTTTCCTTCCTTCTGAGTGGGCCAAGAAACAGCAGAGCTTGGAATGTCTGGTAGGAGGGAAATGGGCTAAAATGGTTCCTATCAATTCACAGGTTATATATCTGTAGATGTGCAGATAATTGCTTTAATCTGGCAAGATTCTGTCTGTAAACGAACAACAATAAACTATTCTTGACGTAACTCTACATGTCCTTCTTGATTCTTTGGCAGCTAGGATTGGGTTCTGCCTCTAGAAATATGAATCTCTGATTCCATCATTCTATGAGTGCAGTTCCAAAAGCTAGGAATTTGAAGAGTAGCGAGCTGGGCAGTCTGCCTTACTAAAAGCCAGGACATTAATGTAATTAATAATAATGTAATTATTTCAGTACAGTTCACATTGACAGACTGGATTATCAGAAAGACATCTCCCCAAGTCCTGGCTGGAGATGTCCAGTATTGAACTACAATTATAGACTGCATGCAAAAGAGGCCTTCAACATATGTTAAGCTCTGATCCCTCCAAGAAATGTCTTGTCCTGGCACATAAGCTTCCCTTCTGCCTAGCAGAATCTGCTTAGGCCGTCTCACAGGCCATCCTGGAACAGCCCGGTGATCACGCTTGGATCTCTTACAGTAGCTGGATTGTTGAAACTACAATCTTTGCAGGTTAGCTAAAGGTTTGACATCTTTTTCTTGTGCTCCTCCGCTGTGCCCTGATGGTGTTCCCTACCCTGGTAATGAAGCATCTTGTAAGAAGACAAGCTCAAGGAACACCACGAATTCAACAATTCAGCCCTGAGCCACATGCATGTAACGTCTTTTTTTTCTAACGAAACAATTAAAACATGCAACACTGATTACAACTTATCTGAAGAGAATATGATAGAGGTACAATAACAGGCGAAGCTTTTGAGCTAGTAATTGTAGAGGGCATCAGGAATAGGAAGACAGGGGGAATAGCTACTACTAAGGCAATAGTCAGATAAGTGGGGCTTGAGCCCGAGGCCAAGAGAATAATCTGAGAAAACATCTCAAGTTCATAGGAAGATAAAGTGAGGGAGGAGAGAAGCCTTGCAATATTCTGTTATGATAGCCTTTGCAATGAACCTAGTCCTGATTGATATGGAATCAGCTTCTTAGTCTGTCTTATCGTTTAGGTAGACAGTAATTAATTAATTAATTCAGGCTTCAAAATTTAGAAATTGAAGAGAAGAAAAATATTTTCCAATCTTCATTGGCT